TTCCATCATCAGCATGATTTTATACGTTATACATTTTTTATACATTACGTACATTATACATTATACATACATTACGTTATACATGATTTTATACATTTTTTAAAATACTCCTATAAAGTCATTTTGATCCACTTCATAAATTTCTTTTACTATATATTGAACTTTGTTGGAACTCTTTTAAGAATTACTAATATAATATTACTAAGAATTACTAATATAATGCAATACGCCAAACGTAAGACTAAATGTAAATTAAAATAAATAAAATATCGAATATCGAACATTTTGTTTATTATTAATGCTTAAAAGAGTTCCAACCAATCCATTTATAATAAAATAAATAATCTATTTATTTCTGCTTCCAAATATATTTAATTTTGTATTGAACTAGGTTTAATAGATTATTTTTCAACTATTTAAATGAATTTTGATACATTTATAATATTTGTAGTGTAGTAATAATATTTTGGCTTATGACTAATCGCTGACGTAAAGAAGAAGGGTGGGATAAATTATTTGATGTATTTATTATTACACCGCATCACATCAAAATTAGGTATACAAAAAAAGTTGAAACAACAAAATTAAAATAATTAGTATAAAGAGAACAATTCAATAAAAAGGAGTATGCTCAAACAACTTATAGAAGGTATGGTATGTATTCGAATAACAAATCTGTAAAGAAAGGTGGGTCAGTAAAAATGCTTCAGAATTTATTAGGATATCAATTTTTTTGTAATCTCTTGTGTTACTGTAATTATAGCACACCTTTTCTGGGTAAGGTACGCGGTAGCGTTTCGTCACACCAAGCAAATAAACTGCATAAAGAATTTGTAACAAAAACAATCTAACATTATTTTGTCGGCATAACGGTTTCGGTAGCATAAAAAAGAGATGTCTAAGAAGCCTAGATCATGTATATCGAATGGATCAAACAGTACTCCTAAACCAGATAGTGGAAGGACGTCCAAACGAAGAAAGATGAAGAGGCAGGCCGAGACTACGATAGATAGACGATATGGTGCGTGACCTCAGGTCACGGTTTGTAAGACATTGGAGAAGATCGGTCTTAGTGGAAGAAAATTGTTAAGGATATCAGTCATTCATTGTTCATAATGCTTATATATATATATATATATATATATATATATATATATATATTCGGTTGGCTCTACGGACCTTATAAATCTTTGGCCGCCTGAACCAGCCTTTTCCACCTCTCCCTATTTTAGACTACTGCTTTCCAGTTTGTGGCCTGAAGTTCAGCCATATCTTTGTTTATCCTATTTATTCATCTGGTTTTTGGTCTCTCATGTGTTCTCTTGCTTACTACTCTGGCATTCATTGTTGATGGATTGCTACGCCCTGCATATCTTAACCTCCTTGCTCTTATGTCATGAGATATTGACTGATCCGTATCTTTCAGCATTTCTTTATTGTTCCTTCTCCTCCATGTGTCAAGGCTCTGGTCCCATATAGGTCATGTTATCCTACGTAGAACTTTTCTTTCGAATCTCTCAATTCTGGCTTCAATTCTGAGAGGAAGACATTTTGAAAGTTGCCTAAATATTTAAATTAAGAGTATATGAAAGTATACTTAATTTCTCCTTTCCATAATATAATGGATTTATTTATTTTCATATTATATTATCATTTTATTACTGGCTGATATACTCTGGGCATTATTCCCAGGAACCAGCTTGTAACAAATATTAGTATTTATCTAATAGCCGGACTTCTTCTCATTATTATTATTACCTTTTATTTATTTTTGTATTTTTATTTATGTTTGAGTGTTAAATTATTTTTTAAAAACAAAAGTTGATCGAATCACTGTGACAAAAAATGGAATTAATGTAAATAATTGTCACAAAAAAACCGCTTTTGGCTCTATATTTCAATTAATTCTATTACATCCAATTCTGGGGTAGAGTTTAATGGGATTAATTGTCACTTGATTGGCGTTGGAAATTCAGATCGTAGCATTTTATGTAAAGCGGTTTAAGGCATTTTTTCTATTAATAGTTACTAGATTTACATGCAAATTACTTTTTCAATTTATTTCAAGTGGATTAAAAATAACTGCACTGAACAAACTGTTCCGTATTACTTTATTCTCTTATAATAAAGAACTATTTTTCCCTTCCTTAAATAGTAGTTTACCCAACATAGTATTTTTGTACTCTTCACAGAGCCTACAGGTACAAAACAAGATCCGTTTTAAAATGTTAAAGTTGGAAGTAAGTGAGAGTAAAAATAAATTTCAATAAATCCTATCAAATCACCCTCCATCGTAAACTTATAACTTTTTGTCCTACAGTATCCTTTAATAATATTTAACTTATTTCATTTGAAATCCGCTACCTAGGATTAACGTCTTACCGTAAGGCGGGATAACTTTGGGACTGAGTGGGTAGCTTTGGGACAGCGGCTAAAATTTAGTTTGTGGTGATTCCGTGGTGGATACATTGTTTTTGTGAGTCTGCAAAAACGTGCTTTGTGTAGGCTTGTGCTGTGCTACTACCTTGCGACACACTACTCTTAAGGCACAAGCCAAATTTTCATCAAAATAAGAAAAAAAAATGGAAATAAATAAAACCCAACTGCACAACGATTGTAGTGAAATAGGCTTCTCAAACTGACGCAAAGCAGTAACTCAGTACAGGCCTACACAAAGCACATTTTTGCAGACTGAACCAAAATAGTTTATCCATCACTGAATCACCAAGAACTAAATTTTACCCGCTGTTCCAAAGTTACTCATCCAGTCTCAAAGGGTACCCATCTAAGGGTATTTGGAATCCGTATATATTTCTGAAACGACAAGAAACCATTCGATCTTCACGGCTGCTCTAACACTTATTGACAAACCTTCAAAGCTTTCAATTAATTACAAGACTACAATAAGGCCATATGGAATTAAGCTTCGCGGCCCCGCCAAATCATCGAATTCCTATCATATCTAATCCTTACAATCCCAAATCCTTAAATCTTAAGATGTTAGTGGTTTTGATCCAGATACATATTCTTCCATGATTAACTCCAGTACCATCCGAATCCACCCGTTTTCAGCCTTGCTTCTCCCTTTATTCTTAATAATTCTCTTAGGTGTCTAAAAAGAAGAAGGCCTCGGAATCTTCTTACTATATGTTATTTTGAAAGTGTTGCCATTAAGTAGTATCTCAACAAGTCAATGAATTTCTATAAATAAAAAAAAGTTACGTGTTTCTTTTAATAAAATTTGGTTATCGTTTATTCCATTGATTTATTTTTTTGACATACTTTTAATATAAGCATTGATTCTTTATACGAAATGCTTTAATAATTTATGAAATTCGACAAAACGTAAATTTCTTTTCTTTTTTTTTTCAATTCTTCTCGACAATTTTCAAGGAGAAAAAAATTGTTCGAAGCTTTGTTTGCATGGTTTGTACATGTAAACTAAAGAACTAATAATTTTGCCTTCTATTCATTACAAAAAGATATATTCTTACATTATTTTAATTGAAGAAAATATCATAAGCCCTCATTAAATAGCTGTTCCATACTAAATATATATTTTTCGAAATGACATTTATACAATATGAGTTTATGTAATATTTTATTTTCATCAAACAATTTATGCCCCTTTATTTTTATACGATTTCATTGAATTCGTTTATTTTTTATTCTCTCTTCATTAAAATCTGGAGATAGAATGAGATAAAATTCCAGGAATACTTTTTTATCGTCATAATTCAAATAAAAAATACGTTGTCTTCTTGAATATTTTTTAGTATCCTCAATTTCCAATGGTTTCGGTCACTTTACCTTCCTCAGGTTTATGTGCAATGATCCTCCTCTTTTGTTTGTCAATTAAAGACTAAAAATAAAACTATAGTATTGATTAATATGTACAATAATTGTAAACTAATAAAGTTTTATTTTTATTTATTTTACTGTAATATATAAAATGACTGTGAACTTACATGTAGTTTTAATTTTAGTTATCAATTAACAATGAAGAGAGTAGGAGCATAAAAAAATTCCTTATACAGGGAGACAATATCTTTTATATTTAAATTGGTCAACACCTGTTATATCGCGTATCGATTCAAGACTTTTTTGCAATTTCAAACACAAGGTTTTGCATCTTATTGCGTAAGCTCTTGAATTTGAATATAAAAATGATCAATAAATCGGTATTTTATTAATTTCATCCTTACCGATTTCATCGATGTTTTTATAGAATATTCTTGGCATGGTTTTTCGTACAAAATTAAACTTATCCGTTTTCTTTTTTCAATCTGATCTCTGTTTTATTTTGTCGTACAAAACTTTCCCTTATGGTCTCCCTTAATCTCAAGGTCCCCTTACACGGTCAATATTATTGAGTCAATAGAGAGTTTGATCAGTTCATAGGCTCACTCAGGGGGAATATCGCAACAATAATATTGACTGGAATAAAAATTGGCTGAAATACTTTTGATGAAACCCTGTTAATATTAGGAATACGTGGAATTATTATTTTATTTGTGAGAATTATGTTGATTGTTAGTACATGTAATGTTATTTCAATTTTATTTTTAAGAGAATTTGTTTCAGAATAATAAAGAAATTTTTCTTTTAATTTTATCAATCATTAGCAAACTGTGGAGTATTTGTCCTCGAGCACTGACTGATCTAAGGGAATTTAGAGTTTTCAGCCATAAATTCCATTTTAGTGTATTAGCTATTTTACAATATGATTAAAGGACAGTGTACGAAAATTTATTTATTCGAATAATTATCTTCTAAACTATCGAAACAAAAATATCATATTTAATATTTACTTTATGATATTAATATTAATTGAGCGATATTAGAGGACCCTTGCACACTTCGGATGTTTTAAGTATTAGAATGTTTATTTTTAAATTATTTTATTATTGTTTATAGATATATAAATAAAAAACTTCAATAATCTGTCAGTAAAACATACTTAAATTAATTATCTTGTCTATAATAATTTTCATTTGTTTCAGGCCTGGTGAAGCTTGGGGTTCACTGTGTAACAAGTAAAAAAGTAGCAATTAAGATAATCAACCGAGAAAAACTTAGCGAGTCGGTGTTAATGAAGGTAAATATTTATTTACTTTTCTTATTTATAGTTTTGAATAATGTATTACATGTTAGAGATCATTCCAAAATTAGATTATCTTAAAATTTTTGTCAGTCACTTACTTTCAACTTCGTTTTATGTTTCAGGTGGAACGAGAAATAGCAATTATGAAATTAATAGACCACCCACATGTATTAGGTTTATCGGATGTTTACGAAAATAAAAAATATTTGTAAGTAGTCACAATTTATAATTTAGTTATAACATAATATTTTTAAAATTCACATGATCTCTATTCAGTTCACTTTCTTGCAAAATTCATGTGCTAATGATTTTACTCCTGAAAGACCAAACAAACTTTTATTAAAAAAAGTAATATATTAGTAAGAGTTTCTATTTTATTATTTATATGTAATGTTAGTACAATATTTTTTAACCTTTAGTAATTGGGTTTTATTGTACAAAGTTTTTAAATTGACCAAAAAAAATGAATTTATTTAATATCTCCTTCCATGAACTCCCCCTTAACGAACGTGGCAATATTACAAGGCAAGGATATATTGCCAATAAAGTATTTCATAGCTTTTAATATCTTCATAGCTATCAAAGATTTGAATCACTTTATCGTCTCAAGGTGACCTCGATCTTCTTCACTTCATCTGTCCCTGGCGCACACTGAGACGAACGTAAGGTTTCTTGGACATCGGCTCTAACTTGCATGGGAAATGTAGTATATTGGTCAAAGTTTGTCTGTTTATTTTTTTGAGGTTATTGAATTTGAACTGAAGCCATTCCACCATATGCATGCATTAAAAGCAAAGTAATAAAATGGCAGTTTTTATTTTATTTTTATAATATTTTTTCAATTAAAAATTATATATCTATATGTATCGTCGGCACCGTGTTAAAGTAACATTAAAAAGGCTCACATTTATTACTTCTATATGGCGCCGAAGATATACATGGAATTTCATAAAAAATAAGTTTTACCTGCCTTCCTCATTTACTTTTAGAACTCAAACTTTTCGCTTCCTGTGATATTGTACATTTAATCAGTTCCTAACTCGATCTGATGAAACAGGAATCGATTAACAGATATTTAGTATGCCTCTCCCATTATCAATCTTTGACTGGGATGCCCATTCCCCTCAAGGTCAATAGCCCATACCGTCCTCTCTCCCATGATATTTAATTGGTCTCATCTTCAAAAATAGTGCAAGCGAAAAAATAATTTAACAAGTCTTATATGATATACAAATACACTTTCCGCTTGTTAACTGGTTTGAAACTTTTCATTTATAAAATTCATAAGCCCTTCGAAATATGCCCCCTTAAAAAATTCAAAATCTTGACACAAAAATTTGCCTCCTTGAAAATTCTGATGGCGCAATTTGCGCCATAAAACCTTCTTCTGTGCACCCCTGATCATTTACTAGATATGTCTATAGGAACTAGAAAACATCAACCTGTCAATTATTGTATTTATTCAGATTCTAGCAATATTTTGAAACGTCATAAACAGTTCTATTTTTATTTTAACTCTTTAAAACAAATAGTATATGAACAAATTATTTGTTGATATTGTTTTAAATTATCAGTTCTATTTAATTCAATTGTTATAGTTCAATTTATGTCAGGTATTTTATTTCATTATGGTAGGCAGTAAGTGTTTCGTGCAAAACAACTATTTCACTCAATATGAGTATTACAAGTATAAGTATTTCACGTAAAATAAGTATTGTACAAATATTAGCGGTAGATACCAATAGATTGTTTAAAATTGATCTCTTGTAGTTTGTATTTTAAACATCACGTTGTTCCGATATTGTATAATTTATTACCTATTTGATAACAACGTATTGTACTAAAATATAAATACATAAAGTAACATGAATGTTATTTATTTATTTATTAGTTGTACATATTTGTGGCTCACAATAAATTAACCATCTACCTCGGTATTCAGCAAATATGATATAAAGGAGAAGAATAACAAAAAAAAAAGAAAAAAAAAAGCGTAGTAAAATAACACATTCATTATAACATAATAACAAATACACACACAAAAAAGATAATGCAGCAAGTAGCTCAATGCAATAAGTCTCTTGGCCAGCGCCTCAGCAGTCTTCTGGGCATATTATATGGATTTGTGGCAGTAGATAGAGCTTGAGTAAGTGGATTGGAATTTAGAGTTAGTCTGTCATGAAAATTATTAAAGCTTTCAGTGGCAGTTGCTGCGATGAAAGGAGTGTTAAGGTCAGTGTGTAACGTGAGGTTTGAAACATAAAAGGGTGTGTCTACAATTTTCCAATAATACAATTACATGAATGTAATAACAAAAAATATGTTTTAATTTTTTTAAATGTAGCTATCAAACTCGTTATATGTTTATAATTTGGTCCGTATAGGCAACTAAATGTTATTTAATCAATAATTTACAACAAGGACGAAGGTAACTCGAATACCCAAGTAATAAAAAATAAATAAAAATTATTGGTGGTCACTCTAAATTCAACGTTCCCATGAACTAAATACTGTTTTTAGAAGTTCAAACCATTTTTAGCAATACGGAGTTGTATTGTTGAGAGAAGAATATTTCGACGGGGTTATTATTTTTCGAAATGAAAAGTTTTCCGAGGACAAGAGGAAAGCATAGAAGAGACCACTGAAAGTGTAATTGTATATGATTTACGGTTTTTAAAATCCTACTTTAGCACTGCTATTAAGAAGAGAAGAGCAAATCTTGGGAGGAGGGGGTGAGTTCATGCACCATCGACCATGGGGATGGATGGGCACCCCTGGTTTAAATATATATTTTTACATATTTTAGGAGGAATCAAATCACATTCTTCATCACCGAATTAGTTAAAAAGTTTTCTAACAAACCTTTTCTACAATTTTTGCAATTTATTTTGCTTTTGGCCTTTTTATAAAAATTTATAAAATTTGTATTCACTATATAACAATTTTTTTATTGCAAAAAAAAGTTCCTTAGAATTTCTACAGTAAAACATTTATTTTAAAAGAGTCGCTTCGAAACTTTTATCTTTTTTAAAAGTTCCATAAAAGTTTAAACTTTTTCTTCAGTTACCAAATGGCGGAAATCGTTCTTTGAGAACAACTTTAGTCCGGTTTCGCTCAGTAATTCACTGATTCTTCAGTACTTCAAAGGAAGGGCGTCCCACACTGACATGCTCAGCTGCCTCTGGAACTCCACAACTGTACAACAGGGATCTACGTACTTTCCACTCGCCCTATCTAGAACTACATACATATTTTTTAAGTGATTAGGGATTGTAAGGAGGTACATGAGTGGCCGAGCGGGTACCTGCACCGACAATCTGATAAACGGAAGTTTAGAGTAATAAAATAATTACGAGTTCTCATCCCGATACCATTGGGGCTTTTCACTCTGGTATTAATCGCCCGCCCTCTCCCCTGACAATTATACTTTATATTATATTATATACTTTATAATATATTATCATGAATCCATTATACTTTAAATCGTGACCGACCGTTGGACCGCCGGTTTCTCTTGAGTGATATCTTCTCGGTTTATCTTTATCAATTTCTTGGTGTAGTCTCATACGGATGACTTGCTGAATCTTCAATTTTAGATACATACCTTAATGAATGCTCACGCAGTAGATGGTCGAGAACACCACTTCTTCTAATACATGTGTACTGCTTAATGAGACACACTCCAACACGATTTAGTGGCCCAAAACAGAGCCTTCAGCTGAAACGTTCGATTCAGCTATGAATCAGCCGAGGGTACTTCAATAATATTCAGTATCAAATTTCTTATAAAAGGTCACTATAGCTGGGTATAGTGTTACCCAAATGCTAGACCGTGACGTCTTGCAGTGACGTCTTGGTCTTACTAACTCAGTCTTGGTCTAGGTCTTGGCCTTGCGCAAGACTCTAGTAACATTCTTGCAGTTACCTGTTAGCTTATTACTAGAGAGATATTACTGTAATTTTTTAGATATGAGAAATCTAACTAAGTCTGAATGAAAAAATAAAAGAGTTAAATGCAAAAGTATATTGGTTTCACCAGTTCTTTACATATAGTAACTAAAATTGTCAAGTATTAATATTTATTTTGCCTCAATTTTTGTTCAAAAAATTGATTTTTTTTTTTTGCCAGTCTTGATCTTGGTCTTGCAACAGATAGGCGTTCTTGGTATTGGTATTGGAAAGTGCTAGACCAAAACCGATTTTGGGCAACACTAGCAGAGTAGAGATTGCCCATTCGAAGTCTAATTTCATAATTGAAACAGTTCCTAACGGAACGAGAACGTAGGGTTTTACGTTCTCGTAGAATGAAATCTAAGAGGAGACCTTGAACGGCTTTTGTTTAATTCCATTTGGCTTATGTTCCAATCTCAGATTTCATTCTAGCATCTGTCTGTACATATTATGATTCATTTTATGGATCTAATGGGCTTCTCGTGATGTCATTTTTAATCTAAATTTATGTTAAAGCTTTGAATTAAATTATATTTTTAGAAATTCAGTAATTCAAGATAGAGATCTTTCATATTTTTCTTTTAATTATGGGTGTACGATATATTTAATAAAATAATGCTTTTCTTCGTTCATTTACACCATAGTAAATCGATAACTCGCCGAAGACTTCCATTTCTCCCAACAAGAACTCCATACACATAAGAGTAGTCTCTTAATCAGTTTATTACCTATGTTTTATTATTTATTACCAACACCTGCAGATTCTTGAGATTATTATTTGATAAAGGTCTATCCTGGGAACACCACATAAAATCACTTAAAGATACATGTACTAAAAAACTTCAGCTTCTGAGAGTACTTAGTTGAACTAACTGGGGAGCAGACAGAACTACCATGATTAAAGTATACCAAGCTCTGATCGGCGCAAAAATAGATTATGGTAGTTTTGTCTATGGTTCTGCCCGAAAAAAAGCTCTAGCCAAGCTCGACTCCGTGCACCACACTGGAATACGCCTTGCAACTGGAGCCTTTAGAACAAGCCCAACCCTGAGCATTTGTGTCGAATATAATATACCACTGCACTTTAGAAGACAGAAACTTGCAATAAACTATATTTATTATACCCACAAACTTCACACCCCTCCCATAAATATGTTTTTCAATCTAAATTCTCAAAAAGATTTAAAGAAAAAAGGAATAACACATTACCATTGGCAGAAAGAATGTCTCTTATTATAAATAAACTAAAACAAATAA